CTCAACTAAAAAAATAACTTTTTTTAAAAAGAAAATTGAAAAGAGTATAATATTTCAAAATGTATATTGTAACGTTTTGATTCAAGAAAATTAGGCACATCATAATTAAATTAGAAAAAGAAATAATGAAGATATTTAATAATTTATATTTTCACGTGGAATTTATGCCTAGTTTTTATGACGCGAGTGGAAGGTACTATTATACCAAAATAATAGAATTAAATTCACACCGATTCAAATAATTAAAATATATATCTCCTATTATAAGATTTTTTATTGATTTTTATATAAATAAATAATATTTCTATTTAGTTTCCACAATTATTTTCAAAAGTTTATTAGATTAGTTAATTTTAAACAAATAATTGTACTGGGTTAGATTTTATTAAGTGAATTATTATAAATAATCTTGACTAATTAAGTTTTCATTTAATTTGCGTTTATTAATAAATGATATAATTTAAAATTGGTTTACTAATAAATTAAAATTATTGTCCTCAAATGAATAAATATTATAAAATTATAAAGAAATTTAATTATGTATAATCGTACAATTGAGAAATTAATTAGAAATAAATGAATTGTGAATAATTAAAAATAATTGAAAAAGAACATTTATATTTTAAAAACGTTGACCAAACATGTTTTGGACTCCAACCTAACGTTTCATAAAAGGTTTTAATTTTAATTTTAAAAAATTAAGTTATCAAGCTTTTTTATTTTCTCATTTTGAATAATATTTATGATTGTCTCAGTATTCACGCACCCACGTACATAAATTAATAAAATCTTTGGCAATATCAATTTCAGTTTTTATTAAAAGAAGTATTATTATATGAAGAGTATTTTTTAGGGGTGTACATTCAACCCGATAACTCGAACCAACCCAACCCGAACTATAAAGATCGGGTTGGGTTGAATTAACATTTCGAGTAGAATAGGATTTGATTCATTTTTTTGAACTCGAACTGAATCGGTTCGATTTCGAGTTCGAGTTCGTGGACAAAACCTTCAAATTGACTCGAATCAAATAAAAATATATAAAATATATGAATAATACTCCTATATAAATAGGTTTGCCAGAGAGTAGTATTTATACTATTTTTAAATAACTATTCACATTTCAATATATTGTTTATTATATAATATAAAAGCTTTTAACTTTATATATATATATATTTATATATATATATAAATTAATTTAAATTATTTTGAAACAACGGTTCAATGTTTATAAATTTTATAATATACATATATAATTTTAAAGTATATTCTATTTATTATCTTTTATATCACAATTTATATTTATTTTTATTATATATATTTGGTTGTGTTATATACAATAACTTTAAACTAATTATTTCTATTGTTTATTTAATTTCATGATCTATCCTTATATTTTATATTTGTTACTTTAATCCATTTTCAAGAAATGTCGTTATTTAGTTGTCTTTAATTTTATGATAATGTTGAACTATGTTAATATGTTAACAATTTTTGTTTGTTTTTTTTTATTTATTGAATTTGTTTTTTTGTTTGCAAATAATTATAGATTAACGTGTGTTTATTTGTGAATTTTTTAATATATTTTATCTAAGTATCCCAATAATTATAAATTGTGGATAAATAAAACTTAAAAAAAATTGACAACCCAACTTCAAAATAGAGAGTTGGGTTGGGAAAAGTTTGGGGTTGGTTGGGTTACCAATCTAACCAACCAGAACTTCTTGGTTGGGTAAAAAAAATCTCTCAACTCAACCGGGACATGTACACTCTTAGTATTTCTCATTGATTTCTTAAATTCTTAGAAAATATTTTCTGCTCTCGTTTTCAAATTTTTTCCTTACAAGTTGGATCAAAAATTTGAGCATAGGTAATAATTTGTGCTGATCGAGACCTAAACTTAATTACCTGACAGTTAAATTTTGAAAGAGTGCAATTGTGATACCGGAGGAAGACGTAACTAAAGTAAGTTATGTATGGATGAAAAATAACTTTTTTCATTACACACCGCGGAATGAAAAACGGCTCATCTCTGCTGAGGCATCTGCTGCTTCTCATCTTCTTATCCTCTCCGGCGGCCGGCGAACCCACAAAGAAAAAGAACCACTTCGTGCTGGTGCACGGTTCCTGCCATGGGGCGTGGTCATGGTACAAGCTCTCCACCATCCTCCAATCGTTGGGCAACCACGTCACTGCCCTCGACATGGCCGCCTCCGGCGTCGACCCCAGGCAGCCCAAGACAATATCCTCAGCCTTCCACTACTTTCAGCCGTTGACGGAGTTCTTGGCCGGTTTGCCCTCCGGCGAGAGGGTGGTCCTCGTCGGCCACAGCTTCGGCGGGCTGGGAGTTGCCGTTGCTTTGGAGGAATTCCCGGAAAAGATCTCTGTTGGTGTCTTTGTCGCTGCCTCCATGGCTGGTCCCAATCTCAGTGTGTTTCCACCGTTCGTGCCCAGGTAAATTTTTAGAACGAGTCTGCTAAGGAAATTTTTCCACATAATTATTAATTTTACTCCTCAACTAACATGAAATTTCACAATTCAATTCACTCTCTTCGGGACCCAACGTCCTAGCTAGCACTCGTCACAATCCACCTCCTTCGTGCTTATGTCCTTGCTGGCATTAGTTCCCTTCTCCGATCGATGCGAGACTCCCCAATCTACTCTCTTCGAGGCCTAGCGTCCTCGCTGGTACATCGCTCGATGTCCGACTCTAATACTATTTGTAATAGTCCAAGACCCACCGCTAGCAAATATTGTCTTTTTTGGGTTTTCTCTTCCGGGCTTCCTCTCGAGGTTTCTAAAATGGGTCTGCTAGAGAGAGTTTTTCACACTCTTATAAATAATGTTTTGTTCTCCTCTCCAACTGATTACACTTATTACAGATTCAATAGGTTCCGATTAAATTTTGAACTTTTTTAATGGCCAAATTGATGATAAATTGTTTTGAATAACTTTATGTTTTTGATACTCAACTTAGTGTCAACATACAACCCAACCTAAACCAATCGGCTCATAAATTGGCGAATTTGACACTTATTGATATACTCTATTACCTTTTGTTTTTATTTCGAATGATATTATGTTTCATTAACCATAATTATTCTCGAAAAATTTATTAAAATATTGGACATAAAATCGACATAGTAATAACCTATAGTGATGGCTAGACATTTGCTTAGATTAAACTTTTCTTTGTTATTGCTATATTCACAAACGGAATGACGAAAAGGAACGATCTCCACCGTTGGACAGTCATAATGTGTACGAAAATGGAGAGGACAAGCCTCCAACGTCTTATATTTTGGGTCCTTGGAAGTTGGCAAAACATCTCTACTCACTCTCACCACCCGAGGTAATCTCCTTCGCTTCTCTAATTCAATATGTTTGAATTGACTTTTTAAGCCAAAATAATTTCTAAGCACTTAAAAAAACCATTTGAAAAAAACTCTTAAAACTTTACGATATGTGTGTAACATGCAGGATTTGTCATTGGCAATCACGTTGGTGAGACCTTTTCCACTATTGAAAATCAATGATTCTGAGTTCAAGTTCACAGAAGAAAAATATGGGTCTGTGAAAAGGGCTTACGTTATTACAGAGAGATTTAATGGCGACGATGAATTTTCAATTGTGGATGATTGAGAATAACCCACCTGATATTGTTGTGGAGATTAAAGGATCAGATCATATGGTCATGGTATTCAAGCCGGTCGAGCTTGCCTATCAACTCCAACGTATTGCCCAACAAGTTTCTCTACTCGACTTTTGATCTTTACCAATGTGGTAAAGCGTTGCTCATGTAATTACAAGTAAAACATGTTGGAATTGTTCTACCTTCTAAAATATTACCTCATAACAAGTTGTCGTGAAACTTATAGTTTTAAAATTAGAATATAATTTAATTTTATGTTATTTTTCGATGTATTATATTGTATTACAATGACATATCTAATTTATTTTTGCATATCACCACCCTTCATGTTTATGATTTGTAAATAACTCTAGTTGAGGTTGCACATTTTGCTAGTGATTCGGTTCAACCCAAAGCCTCGGTTGCCTTCGGCTTGAACCGTTTGATAGGGAGCGATTGTACACTTAAATTTGACGCTCTTTGTATATAAATACTTCTATTAATTTGTTCGGTTCACTATGTGGTATTAACTCTAAGTTTCTCCCAGGTTGATGAGTCTTCCTTTCAATTTTAATGGATCGCGAGACGATTTTTTTGGTGGTATGGAATTCGTGCTTTGATAACTCTGGTAACCCATGTCATTTTTCTACAACTCATTCATGCTATCTATTTGTCTCGAACTTGTCTCGAACTGTTTTTAAAAGTGAAAACTATATGTACAAACCAATATGAGTCTTGTCGTACAACCCAACATGGATCATAACACCTGACACTCGACTTGAAGTTGAGCTGCCTCTTGAAAATATCCACTCGTAGAAACGGTTCAATAACAAGAGATTCAAACTTCTTACCTCTTAGAAAATTTATTGAGATATAATTTTTTAATTATTAAAATTTAATTTGAATTTGATTATTGAATTTCAATCTTTAATCCAAACTATATTATTATATATATATATATATATAAGTACAGATGTATGTTCAGACTTCATATCACAATAATAGAAGAAAAATTAATGGCAAATTAGTAAATAAAAAAACATACAAAAATCAGAGAGCGAGAGAGAGAGAGAGAGATCAAGTTACCTGCCTGTCTTCCACAGTCAGTCACCATCCAATGGAATCGGTATACGTGTCGACGTACCCCGCCTTTATTTATTTATATATATATTTTCTCTACTCTCGGATGCTTTCTTGAAATGTCGGCACGAATCTTCAGCTTAGCTGTCATCGAAAAACAATCTAGTTGATCTGATGACGTGGCAGTCTCTCATTGGAGATGGGAACTTTCCAGTCAGCTTCCCCGGAAGTCTGACCAACACGACAGTTCTCCGGCGGTATAAAACCCCACTTTCATTCATCAACTGACACTCTGTTTTTTGTCGGCACAAAAATCCATTCCGCTCCTTCCAATTTCATCAAATTATTAGTTTTTTTTTTCTTCCTCTTCTTAAAACAAGAAATCCCACTTTCAAAAGATCGATCTTTCTCCATTTTTCCCCCCACTTAGATTTCCCGGCCAAAACAGAGCTCCCGCCGCCGTCCGTGGAGGCCGGAAAATGATGAAGAGAACACCCAATCACAATCACAATCACAATCACAATCGCAATGTGGTTAATGGTAAAGCCGCACAATCATCCTCAACGACGTCGTTTTCTTCTTCTTCCTCTGCCGCTACCGGCGACGAGCCATTCGACTGGGAAATGAGGCCCGGCGGAATGCTGGTTCAGAAGCGAACTGACAAATCCGAGTCACCGGCACCCATTCTCCGCCTCAGAGTCGCATTTGGCGCCGTCCGATTCGAGATCCCCATCAGCTCCCAAGCCACATTCGGTAAAAAAAAAAATTAAAAAATTAAAAAAAAAAAACCAGTGTGTTCATCATAAATCGGTAAAAAAGAACAAATCTTTCGATAATTTGACATAAAATAACATGTGGGGTTGCTTCGTTTTTGCAAGATTCAGGAGAAAGTGGAAATTAAACATAGGTATGTTTTTTTTTTTGGTTTTGTTTGGGAACAGGGGAGCTGAAGAGGGCGCTGACGGCGGAGACAGGGCTGGAGGCGGCGGAGCAGAAGGTGATTTACAGAGGGAGAGAGAGGGAAAACGGGGAGTATTTGGAGGGCTGTGGAGTGAAAAACAGATCGAAAGTGGTGTTGGTTGAGGATCCGGCCAGCATTGAAAGAAGATACACAGAAACCAAAAGGAACGCTAAGATGCAGACCGCTCATCGGGCCATTTCCGCCGTCTCCATGGAACTTGATAAGCTCGCCGACCAGGTCACCTTCTATTTTTAATCTCTGTTTTTTTTTTTTTATTATTATTATATAAATAAATCTAATTATATCAAAATTTTAATATTATTTCTAATTATTTCATTGCAGAAATAAATTATAAATTTTTTCCACCTCAAACAAATTTATCAAAAAATGAATCTAGGTTTGGTTTCAATTATTCTACTCGTTTCTTTTAATTATTAAAAAAGTAAAATATTAACTCTTCAAATATTTATTTAATATATATATTTAAAAAATTACCTTAAAATTTATTCTCAAAGTTATTGGAGAATAAAAATTTAATAAATATATGGCTTGTATTATAAGAATTAACCATAAATTTAGATTGGTTGGTTTAAATCCTAAATAAGTAATTATATCAAATTTTAATATTATTCTTAATTATACAAGTGGAATAAAAATTATATTGCTGGTTCAAATGAAATAACTCTTAAAATATTTAATTAAAATTTATTTTTAAAAGTTGCAGGAGAATAAATATTCAAAAAAAAATTAAATAAATATATGCATGTATAATTGTATTACAAGTGAAAAGGTATATTTTAAAATTAATAATAAATTTGAATTTATTGTTCAATTTAATTTTAGAAAAATCTATAAACGAATTCATTCATAAAATTTTCATTTATTTGAATCTAACTCAACTCAAATAAGTTGAAAGGAAAGAACAGTAACAAAAATATAGCCACGATTTGAATGTCCATCACGATGAAACAGTGAAAAACTCATGAATTATGAACAGGTTTCTGTAATGGAAGAATCAATATCAAATGGAATCAAGGTTCCTGAAATTCAGATCACCACACTGATTGAGATGCTGATGATGCAAGCCATCAAGCTTGACACCATTGCTGCAGAAGGAGCTGCTTCCACTCAGAAAATTTTGCAGGTAAAAACATCTCCTCTCTGTTCATCATAAAACCAAACCAAGCCCGACACGATCGAGAGCCCGCCATGTTCTTGATGGCAGTAATAGTGCTATCAGTGTCGAGTTCTATACGACCCCGAACCGAAAAAAAACCATACCAATTCGACCTTGCTTTTTTGATTGCAGGGGAAGAGAGTGCAGAAATGTGTTGAAATGCTTGATGTTTTGAAGGTTAGAAATGCAGGGGTGGAAGTTGTGAAGCCTGTGATTGTTACAACCAAATGGGAGACGTTTGATCACTGGCCATCTCTTATTGATCTTTGATCCTTGTTTTTTTCATATGTTTTCGAGTTTTCGAGGTAACCGAACGACGAAACGGACAGTTGGAATGGTTTAAGGTTCCTGCTGAATTATTGAATGGTTTAAGGTTCAAACAGTACACTAAAACTAAAGCAACTGAGCTAGTAATCAATTACTTCTATGTTTCTCAACTCTCAAGGCCATCCCAAACAAAAGCAGGTTTTGGATTAGGAGTTAGTATGGGTGTGTGCTACTGTTTCTAGTATAAACTCGAGCAGGAAGCGGTGACTAATCGGTACTGACGCGCTCGTGTTTCTTGATCTTGACGTGTTTGGATATCTCGGAGTCGAAGCATTTGAACATATGTTCCAATTCAGAGATCTCATGCTCAATGTCGATTTGATTGTCGTCGTCGCTTTGTATGATCATTTCTTTGAAACTATGAATCCTATCGAGTCCGACTCGAACTCGGTGTCCCATTTCTTCCATTCTTGCATTAGCCCCATTTCTTCTCTCTTGATATTCTTTGAGCTTTCGCTTCAAGGATCGGTAGGCGTCGAGCGACTTGAGAAGCTGTTCGGTCAAGGCTTTGTTTCGTTTTTGGAGGGCTTCAATGCTGCCTTGGGCATCAGATACATTGTTGTTTTTTAACCCTCTATGCTCTGCAACACAAGCTTGAACTTTGCACATTAGCATTTCATTTTGTGCTTTGAGATCATTCACATGTTCTTCCATTCCATGCAATTGTTGAACCGTCCTCGCTAGCTCCTTCGCGATGATCTCCTTCTCCTTTCCGATGCTTGAGCATATGCTCTCGAGGCTTTTCCGAGCTGCTATGCTTGCATTCAGCTCTCTCCTCAACTTCTCCTTCTCATCGGTTATCGGTTCGTTCGTCGGTTTTTTGTCCCTCGGAACGTTTCGCCTAAGATCCGTGTTGCACCTTCGAAGCCCGGCTTCCCTTCGCTTACCAAGAACTTGTGCTCTTTGGATTTGGGATTTGACTTCATCAAGTATAAGCATCATTTCAGATATCCTTTGATCTCTACTCCCATTGTTTCCTTTCGTGGAAGCCTCTTTGTACTCGTGGATTAGTTTCAACAAAATCCTCACATTCGTAGATACTCCTAATCAATCAAAAACAAACTCATCATATATCTCGAAAAGAAACTAAAAAAAAAAAAAAAAAAAAACAGAACAAGTCGACAAACCAATGAAGTTTTGATCGACATGGGGTTGTCGTGGACTTGTGGAGCCCTCGACTAATTCAGGGGACGACAATGCGCGAATGCGGGTGATGCCGGCGGAGTCCATGAGGAGGAGGAGGAGGAGAAGAAGAATTCAAAGATAGCTAATTAGAAATGGTTGAAGAAAAAGAGAGACTGGTTTTTGGGTCAATCTCTCCTTTCCTTCTTCTTTGTGTATGCAAAACAATGGGTTCTTTTGCCTTTTGTTTGTGTTGGGATCCAACAAATATTCTATGTTTTGTTGGTGCATCCATGTCTGAAAATGGTCGGTTTTTGCTGTGATCCTCCGCAATCATTGCTCATCCATTGACTTTTTCATTTGTCTTCTGTTTTTTCTTCTTTGCTCCCTATTTACTTGGATCGTTTGTATTGGAACATGTATATGATATGTTAGTTTAATCTTTTTAATTTAGGTTGAATGAGTGGTTACACATAAACATGTTTAACATTCGTGGAGCTAGGGATCTACTCCAATTAGCACGAGAGAGTCGAGAGAGATTTCTCATCGTTAGCTAAATGAGATTAGAGATGGAAATTATATTCTCCGTTCTTGTCTCGCCCTAGCTAAATGAGGCTGGGGACGGAAATTATATTCTCTGTTCCTGTGCTTGCCATAGCTAAATGAGGCTGGGGACGGAAATTATACTCTCTGTTCCTGTCCTTGCCATAGCTAAATGAGGCTGGGGACGGAAATTATATTCTCTGTTCCTGTCCTTACCATAGCTTAATGGGGCTGGAGACGGAAATTATATACTCTGTTCCTGTCCTTACCATAGCTAAATGAGGCTGGAGACGGAAATTATATTCTCTGTTCCTGTTCTTGCCATAGCTAAATGAGGCTAGAGACGGAAATTATATTCTCTGTTCCTGTCCTTACCATAGCTTAATGAAGCTGGAGATGGAAATTATATTCTCTGTTCCTGTCCTTACCATAGCTAAATGAGGCTGGGGACGGAAATTATATTCTTTGTTCCCGTTCTCGCCCTAGCTAAATGAGATTGGGGATGGAAATTATATTCTCTGTTCCCGTCCTCACCCTAGATAAATGAGACTGAGGACAGAAATTATATTCTTCGTTCCCGTCCTCGCCCCCCCCCCCCCCCCC